CTCACTCACACCTAGAGACAATTTAGAGTCACCAATCAGCCTAACATGCATGTTAGGCTGATTGGTGACTCTAAATTGTCTCTAGGTGTGAGTGAGAGAGTGAATGGTTGTTTGTCTCGTTTGTCTCTATGTGTCTCTGTGATGGACTGGAGACCTGTCCAGGGTGTCCCCCGCCCCTCGCACAGTGATTGCTGGACATGGGCACCGGTGACCCAAAATGGAAGAAGTGGGTAAAAGATAATGGATGGACGTTCATTGTATTTTATTTGGCCTTAATGAAAAGGGAAACATATTTTGATATTACTGGAAGTTAAAAGCACTTTTCAGTGGTATTTTCAGTGAATAGCAATCATCAGTGTGCTAATGATCCATTGTTAGGCTGATGCTCCTCCTTGATCATGTGAGCAGCTGGTTTTGGTTGTCAGCAGCAAACTGGTTGATCCACTCTGAGAAGGTGCTATTTAAAAGACTGAGCTGAATACAGCAACTCAGACTGAGGAAGTCTTTCGGATGAGAGACGAAACGTTTCTACATTTTTGTTTTGTTTTGTTTTTTTGAATGTCCAGAGGACCAGACTTAACTTTTTTAGATTTTTCTACCTGGATTATTGAGCATGCATCAGGATACTTTTCAGTGGTCTTTTCCAGTTTGTAATGACGTCAGTTTTGTATAAAAATACATGAATGATTATTTTGTCTCTAAACTTTTTAATCATGTCCCAATTTGAACTGAGTTTCAGTCAATTTGACATTGTTCAGACAGACAGACAGACAGACCGATAGATAGATAGATAGATAGATAGATGGATAGATAGATAGATAGATAGATAGATAGATAGATAGATAGATAGATGATAGATAGATGAAGACTTATCAAGCCTTTTTAGATTAATAAAATCAACAGTCCTCTTTTTCCTTTGAAGGACGAGAGAAAGACAGAAAGAGAAAAAGGGGCTAACAGATTATCCTCCACATGTTCCTTATATATCTGAGGACCTGTTGTCTAATCCTAAATAAAAGTCAATGAATGAGTGCGTTTGGTTGTATTGTGGTTTTATTTCGTGCCGGGGAGGGGCGCGGGTCCTTCGGTCAGACAGGGATGGAGGCAGCTGGGAGGAGAGAGGCTCAGAGGGAGGGGGTGGGTTATTCTGAGCTCAGGGCCGGGGATTAGAGCTGAGAGCAGTCCCAGCACGATGACAGCATCCAGCTCATAGCCAGCTCCTCCACCATCACCACCACCGTCTGGACCGGGTGGAATTTTTCCTGAAATCTTCCTCCCTGGAATTCTCCTCATCACCCCCCGGATCTGTTTTGGAGGGGCCGGGGGGAATACCCCTCCTTCCTCTCCACCATCAGACACCCGGTCCGTCTCCTCAGATCACGAGGTGAGTCGCTTTTTATTTCCCGGTGTTATTGTCCGACGAAGGAGCGGCTGCACGCGCCGCGTCGTGCCGTTTGTCCCCATTCATCCAGCGAAACAACCCCGCCACGGGGGTCCTTTCCACACCTCACATGGTCTCAGAGAAGGGGGATGTGGGGGAGAAAGTGAAACCCGATTAGGGTGATAAAGGAAGCAGCACAAGGCCGACCTGTACGTGCGTTTTATTTCTTTGTTTCGCGCACGGACCTGTCAAAGTTTGATCAGTGGAATGGGGAAACATCGATTATTCTGAGAATATTTAGATATCACCAGGGCTAGGTGGTCGATTCCCACAGAATCAACAGCCATTTTTAAATATCTGTCTGCACATGTGTGGTGCAAGGAGGGCTGGAAAATCCAGTGAAATCTACAGATTGGTAATCCTGTGCAGATCCGAGGGGGGAGTGAAGGGAAGGAGGGGGGATGCCAGGACTCTGGGTTGTAAAACATTGTGAATGGGCGTAGGCGATGGATGGTCGTGGCCGGAAGCCATCCAGACTCTTCTCTGCGCTTTTTGTCCGAGCCGTGCCGTGCCGGGCGCATCAGAGGCGCAACACAAGTAGACCGGAACAATGCGGGTTTTCTCTCTCTCTCAGTTCTGGGGCCTTTATTTAATGCTTGACATGATACAATCTGAGCGCTCAGCGCTGATCCAGGACATCCCATCCCTGTGCATTCAGTCTGCTGCTGGAGCTCCACACATCCCTGATGCTGCCATTTTTACAAACACCGACTGCTCAGTGTGTTTTGCTTTCACTCTTGTGTTCCCCATGCGTGTGCGTGCGTGTGCGCTGTGTGCTGCGGGCTTTCTTTCATTGTGCTGTGAATCAGGAATGTGCGCTCCGTCATGTGCAGAGGTCATCCTGCTGCAGGGAAACCACGACGGGCAGAACTCGCACATCAGGATTGACTTGATGCTTTTCATGGCAGCATTGGCCTCAGTCTGCTTCACCGACTGCCCCACTTTACTGCAGCCAGCACCCCCTCCTCATTTTCTTTTAGTTTCAGCTTCATGTGGGGGGGCTGGCTGATGCTCCAGCCTTACATTGTTAGTTAGTGTTCACCTTTATTCTTACAGGTAATCTGATAGAGATATGGTGCCTCCTTCTCAAGAAAGACCTGTTTCAGGCACACATGATAAGAAGGTAGGCGCCAACAGATAAATTTGTCAGTGCAGCGCATGCATTAAATGAAAGGTATACAAAAAAAAGAATGGTTTTCTAATGACGCGTGTTTTGCCACTAAAATAAGACTTTAGCTGGACAGCTTTGAGTCATGTAAAGAAATGTCGTTTCCAAGCCTTATAGGCTGCAAACTATAGAAAATCCTATAAAAGATAACAGAATAAGGAGTGCATGCATCTGGTCTGCGTGAAGATACGCTGGCAGAAAGCTAAGAATGAATTAGTAAAGGAAGTTTTACAGATATCTGCGTCTGAACAAGTCAGTTTGGTGTGCAATGATGAGCGAATATATAGTATCTCGCAGGGCAGTTCAAGTCACAGGGCCTTGGCTGCATGTCTCCAGAAATTCTGGACACGTCTGAAAAAAGTTGCTCAAATTTTTTTCTTTCAATAGTGAGAACCATCCATCCATCCATTTTCTTCCGCTTATCCGGGGTCAGGTCACGGGGGTAGCAGCCTAAGTAGGGAGGCCCAGACTTCCCTCTCCCCAGCCACTTGGGCCAGCTCTTCCGGGGGAATCCCGAGGCGTTCGAAGGCCAGCTGAGAAACATAGTCCCTCCAGCGTGTCCTGGGTCTTCCTCTGGGCCTCCTTCCGGTGGGACGTGTCCGGAACACCTCACCAGGGAGGCGTCCAGAAGGCATCCTAAACAGATGCCCAAGCCACCTCAACTGGCTCCTCTCGACGTGGAGGAGCAGCGGCTCTACTCTGAGTCCCTCCCGGATGATCGAGCTTCTCACCCTGTCTCTAAGGGAGAGCCCAGACACCCTGTGGAGAAAACTCATAGTGGGAACTCATAGTCTCAATAGTGGGAACTAATCTAGAAAAACCTCAGTTTAGGGTGGTAAAATGAGAAGGTATCTCACTTAGCTGCTATTTTCGGGGACTGGAGGCACAAAATTGCGAGAAAGTACCCAACTACCAAGAAGGGGTTTGCATTTGTTATGCATCTATGTGATACACAGGTACGGAGTATACCTGTTAGAAAAGCTTGGGAATTACAATATACACACTTAAAAGTGCCCAATAATATGTGACATATCGTTGGGCATGTGTCATTGACAACACATTTGGAACATTTTATAGACACATTGACTTGGTTCAACCTGTTTTTTTTTTTGTATAATTAACACTTCTGTACTTACGACTTAATACTTGAACATGTTTTGCTACCGTTTTATAAATTCTGTAACATGTTTTTAATACAAAACCAACTGTTGCACAAAACTTGTTGTACATTTATTCAAATATAAGCATCAGAGAAATTTCGAAATGTTCAATATGCTTAAAAATCAAAATAAATTGACAATTACACCAGTGTATAAGCACAGTATACCTAGTACAAAAATGCAGACTACACGACTGATGTTAGTACTCCATCATCATGTGTGAATAAAATCTGTCTCCATGTGAAGTCTGGATAAAAGGTGTTTGATGCATAAATACCATAAATAAATACCATATTTAAATACCATAAATAAATACCATATTTAAATACCATAAATAAATACCATATTTAGATACCATAAATAAATACCATATTAGAAGGCAGGAAGTGAAAGGGGATGCCTTGTGTGAATTTAATGGAAAACTGCCGGGACTTTCCTATTCTTTTGGAAACACATTTAATCAGGTTTGCGAAATGCATCAGCCTAATAGTGTAATAAATATGCACCATTCTAGCCCATGTTGTTAATGTACACTGTAAAAAAGTTGATCCACTGAGAAGTATATTGGTCTGTTCAGGCCTTGAGTGGCTGTTTATTGCCTATAATGGCAGCTCTTGATTGTTCAAATCAAGTTATCTAATTAATTAATTAATGAGGTGATGTGTCAGTATTTCTGCTGATACTGGAACATTAGTCTGTTTTTTGCTCTTAAACTGTATCGGTTTCACTCCAGGGGGTGCTGACCTCATTGATGTGACGGCTCCATCACACAGTTGACTGGCAGTGGGTCATAAAGTAGGACAACTCTCTTCATGATTCCATAGTATCTTAATAGAGACCCTTTACCTAAAAATAAAACATAAAAAAGTCCACCACTAAATTTTAATGTGTACTGCTTTTGCACTGATATGAAATATTAAAGTCCAGCAGCATTATAAGTAATATTGCAGAGTCCAGGGTCTCTAACAGGCCTCATATTATGTTTTCTTAAAGATAAGCTGTTTTTGAAGGAGCAGGGAATGAAATTGGCTCAGACAGACAGTTACAAACAAGACGCACGTTATTGTCCCTTAGTCGTCAAGATCCTCCTCTGTTTGTGGTTCTATCTGTCTTGTGAACATTCGGAACGATATGCAGCACACTCAAAGAGCCGTTACTCAATATGTCACCAGGACAGTCAAGCCTTGCCAGGTCTCTGATGAAAAGGGCAAAATGAAGTGAGCAGAGCACATTAAGCCGTGTCTTCATATTGCTAATGGAGCGAGCTGACGGACTGAATGAACAGCGGAAGATTTGATTACGTTTGAAATATAGCAATCCGGGAAATGAACTAAGAATCAACAATCTAAACAGAACAGAGAGGCGATGAAACTGCTGTCCTTGAAGGAATGACATCATCAATGCTGCCGTGCATGCCCAAGTCTTAAAGAAAACTCCTGTATGAGCTTTTAGTGCTCGTGTTGTGGAGGAGTCACAACTACTACCACACTAAATCTTAGCTTGATATCCATAGATCTGACTGAACCACTGCCAGGATCTGTGTTTTGTTGTGTATTTTCTCTATTCACCGGCATTTTTTTCACCGTCCTGTGTTTATTTAGTTCTCCCCAGTGTTTTCCACTCACTTTGTTTCTGCTCTTGCCCCTCCCACTCTCATCCTCATTGTCTTTCTCCAGGTGTATGTCATTGTCCATAGTTAGCGTCTCTTTAAAACGCTGTCAGTTTGTCTCTTCTTTTGTCCGTGGATTGTGCTTCCGAGCCGTCATGCTCAGTTTCCTCTGTTTCTCCCTTTGTCCTTCGTTTTTGTAAGTTCACGCTACCACATCAACGCTTAGATTTTTCATTTTAAGTTTAATAAATAAGTACGTTATTTATCCTCGAGTTTCCCCGAGTTCTGTCAGCATGTGGGTTCAACGCTATCATGACAACTTCAGGCGTTTTTGTGCTAAGCTGGCTAGCTGTGGCAGCCGTCATGAATTGGGTTGTACGGTGATTATTCTGTTGAAATTTATTAAAATCCATCCGGTTGTTAATTTTGTATTTCGCTAAAAGACACGTGCACACACAGAAACAAATAGTTACTTGATCATTCATCTTTCGTGGAGGTGATAATAAGAAAAAGATTAAGAAAAACCCCAACCAACAGACATTTTTATTAGCTCTTTAAATTGTGATGAAATTTTAATGTTTTAACCAACTTTATGTTAGTTATATAATGTATTCTCTAGAAACTTAAACACCTAGAAGAAAATTGGACACTTGCACAAAAGATTATGCAAAAGATAAAAAGTCAAATTATGACCAGAAGAGCTATTATCTCTGACAGCCACACAACTCTGCATCACTTTATTGTTTTTAATGTATCCAAATAAAAGTGGAGGGCTCAAACCTAAGAAGGTGTTAGTGGCTGCAAACAGCTCCCAATATAATGACATTATATACAGAACACATCGTGTTCCAGAAGTAATTTATAGAAAAGGATGAGTTATTACTGGGGTGTGAAGCTTTAACTGGTTTGTACTGTTTCAAGGATGCAGACAATGCAACTGTTTCCTCAGAGCAGTCGTAAACCAATGCAGTTTTGGTATTAAATAACAATGCATCCATCAGTTACATCATTCTTCTGATAAAATCTGATCCATTTAATATTTAAAAGTCAGTAGCATGTTTTTTTTTTTTTTTTTTACATACACTGTATGAAAATAACAGAAATGTGTGTATGAAGAACATTTTTTTTTTTTCATTACTTGCAGCTAAGAGCTCTTTTTCAGGCTGCTGTTCCTGCTGTTTAGCTGAATTGTTTTCTCTTTAGCGACACCTGCAGTTCAGGAGTAAAACTGCAGCAGCGCCGGTGTAAACAGCAACAAACGCCCTGAAAATGTGCTTAACTGTGTAAATCAAATAACTTGTCAAGAAAAAAGTTCACTTAGTTTTTATTCTTTGTAAAGTAGGAAAAACGTCATTGCACTGGTGAGTCACTAAAAAGTATTAAACACACAAGCTGCTGGCAGGTCTATTTATTTTGCTGTCTAATTTTTACTGCACTATTTATCAATCGTGAGTAAAGTTTTATGAAAGTGTTTTGCAATATAAAAGTAATCTGTTTATGCTTGGCCATTTTTTTGTAGGCAGTTAATATTTATTGTATTCTCAGTATCTGACTGTTTCTTTGATTTGATGTATTAGTTTGAATTAAAAATGCAATGTTGAATCAAAACTCATATTGAAATGCATCATATGGGGATTTAAGGCTGAACTGTATCACATCGTAATCGGTTGTTGCTGCCAAAGTATATTTAATTTATCAGTGTATCGAGATATGTAATGACCCAGACACATAGTCAGGGTTGGAGCAGAGCCTCTGTACTACTAACCTTAAAATGTTTGACTATAACATCAGAAAATCGGATACTATTATTAAGGCCCAAGTTTGGTTTCCTAACATTTTATTGGCTTCCAGTCCAAATTTTTGAGTTAAAATTGGATTGGAAATGTTCAGCGCATTTTGCAGAATAAACTTATTTTACTTGCCTCAATCTTTACCCTCATTCACAGCCACCAAATCTTTTGTCAATCCTCAAAGGACACTTGTTTTACAACACATCTGAAAAAAATGTAACTTGCTCACGAGGACTGAGCCATCCACCCTCCGACTGAGTCATTTGTTGTAAATTCCTTTTGTTGTTGCGCTCATGAAATCTGAAGCAATTCAGCTGCTCCACATAAACTTAAATCCCCTTTCACCCCGAGCGATTCACATTTTCGCACATGTTGTCAGCGGACTACACTGCGTTTGGACTGAATGTTCCCAGAAACCTGCGTACAACTTTATTGGCAACGACTGTGAGCCTAAATGAAAAGTTGAATAACCGGAGCGAGCCCTGCTGCTGCAGCCCTAAGCCTCCTGTGGTGCAGCTGTATCCGGTGCATCGTGTTTGACCGTTCAGGAGTTGGATTTGGGCTTTTTCAATGTTATTTGTTGGCTTTGAAAACTGGGACCTCTCACGTTTAAATTGACCTTTAGAGGTCAGGAGTTTGTTTCAGTGTTAAAGTTGGACATTCTAATTGTTATGGGGTGGCATCACAAACAGGTTAAGACAAAGCTCTTTGTGTTTTTAAGGGACAGGATTGGGATTAGGCCATATTTTCAAAATTCAATTTGTGGATTGAATGAGCAAAACTCCTGTTGCATGATTCTGTAAATATTGAAGGTGCTGTGCAATCTTGGAGTCAGACATTTTAGTTTTTTCCTTGTCTTAAGATAAAGTTTTGCAAACCTTCTGCTTGGACACTGGCTTCTTTCACTACTGATTTTTAACTAATCTCGTATGTGCTTTAAATGTTTTTTATTTAATTTTTGGTAGCTGCAGTTGAAAAAAATATGGTAAATCATGTAAATCTGCAACAGCACCTAAAGTACTTAAGATATAATCTAAAGTTGTTTTACTGTAAAGGTGTCTGTTATGTTGACACCTTTGGTTCTTCCTTCTTTTCATCTAATCAACCAGAAGTAGAAAATAATTAATACCTCGTACAACAAGGCTACTAAAATCTCACTCATTTGGACAAGAGCAACACTACTGATGGAGATGTGAAAGGTCACAGATGTTTTTCACCTATTAATGTCAAATGTTATATAACTCATATTGATGTGTGTGTGTTAAGGGTTGTTATGACTGGACTGCGTGCTTGTGACTCTGACCACAAGAATGGTCATGGCAAATGTAAAGTTTGAGCTGTACTCTGTTCCTTTGGTTTATTTAATCTGAGAGCATTTACCAATAAACACCATTCTATATGAAGTTAAGCAATGCAACAGATCATGGCTGGGTTCAGTAACACTGAAAAGTTGGACAAACATGAGCTTCATTAACATTTAAATGCTTAAGGAAAGGGCTTAAGACTTTCTTTTTGATCAGTCCTGTAGTTAGTGTTGGCTTGTTATGTATAGGTTTAGACTACTGGAGGACAAATTGACCTAATTTACTTAAATGAATTGTTCAAATTGAATATTTTTCATTTGACATTATTTCTATCTTAACATGTGATTCTTGACCTGCCATTGTGTATCTGTTCCTCTCAAACCCAGCCGGTTGAAGCAGCTTGTCCTGAGCCTGGTTCTGCTAAAGGTTTCTTCCTCACGAGGGAGTTTTTCCTTTCCACTGTCGGCTTCATGGTTGCTCAAGAGAGTCTGTTCTTTTTATTTAATTTTTTTCAAGATGAGAGTCTGTGATGAAGTTAAATCTGCTCCTCAGATAAATAATATTAATTTATTTTTATATAGATATGAATGTTTCTGTTCGGTGCCCTGAGATGACTTCTGTTGTGACTTGGCGCAAATTGAATTTACCGTGTAACGAGAAACTGACATCAGTGTGAGGGATTATAAAATAGCTTGTGCATGGACTAACATTTTCACCGTACTTCATGACCTAATATGTAACCTCTGGAGAGCCTGTCTGTGCAGGCTGATCTAACCGGCCCAGCAGCGCTGACTGGGCTTCGACATGGTTTTCTTTTTTCTGGCTGCAGAGGAACTACACATTCAGCACCACCTTACAACCCCCTGAGGAAAGAGTCTTCTATGGAGTACCAGGGCTGAATCACAGACTGTTTTGCCAAAAACAGAGCCATATTGTGAGGGGAAACAAGCAGTGGGCGAGAGGGGGGTTGGTTGTCTCAGTGAAATGAGATGCAAACATCTAAACAGGGGACAGACACAGTCTTAATTTGCTAAGAGCACTCATAAGTTTGTGTTTTCCATGTAAAGATGCAAGGACGAAGTGAGGAAAGGAGGGCGACTGAGGCAGTTTGTTGGGATTTATGTGTTGTGAGCTCAGGGTCTTCAGGACCTGACAGTGGAGGACAGCATTTACGATTCACCATCGATTCAGAAAAGAAGTGGACTCATCATTGGGCAGGTTTTGCTGTGTCAGGTTGGGAATTTGAGAGTGCTGTCACATCACAAGACCAAAAAAAAAAAAAAAAAAGAACAATATCTTCCTTTTCCTCAAGCAAAAACAGAGATAGTGACAGAGCTACAGCTCTACTTTTTAAATATTTATTTCCCGTCAGTGTACTGGTGTCTGCTGTGTGGTTATTGATCCCCACTTCACCTCCCATTGCAGAAACTTTTGTCCTTTCCTTTCGTCTCCTGCAGCTTCACTCGCCCGTTTCTTTGCCCCTGCCCTTTTCACCCTCTTTCAAATTCTCCCCCTTTTCTTCCCCCCCTCAATATCCTGTCTTTTTTCCCCTTTCTTTCCCTTGACTAATTATTTTTTTTCCCTGCCCCTTTTCTCAGCCCCTCCAAAGTCCCCTCCTCTCCACTGCTTCAACCCACATGTGCCTTCCTCTTCCAAGCTGCATTATTCATGCACCCTGCTCCCTGTCTGAGTCCTGCCGGGGACACGTTCGGCCTCGTGAAAGAGCCCTGTTCGTGAGGGACGGGGAGTTGCACAGACGGGACTATCATCTTCCTGATTTCTGCTCTCGGCTGCAGATGAAAGCCTCAGAAGAGTGAGAGTTTACTGCACAGATCAACATCCAAGAGCCAAATGAGGTGGTTTCCTCAGACGAGATCAAGAATGTTTATTAAGCGTCTCTCTTCATTCGACAGCCAGGCTTTTCACAACAAAGCACCCCCCCCCCCCCCCCAACGCTTGTGTGTTTTTCTCTTGAAACCAGAGGCCGGCTAAGGTTTCAGCCGTATCTGCTCTGATGCTTGTATGAAACACTTTGTCCTCTCTTCCCATTGGCCAAGATTTCTGTTTGCATGGCAGCACATCAGGATTCACAGGCTGTTCCTTTTTTGGGCTTTAGAGTGCGCTCAGTAAAAGTAAAAAAAAAAAAAAAAGCACGGTCGTATGAAATTTTAATCTAGACAACCAGATGAAGATGGAGTGCCTGGTCTCTGTAGCCCCGTGTGCTTTTTGAGGCAGAGGAGGTGGACAGAAAGACAGTGGGTGTGAGCGTGGGAGTCTTTTGGGACCAGAGGAGGGGCCTCCTGGAAAACCACAACCGCACAGCTGCTTTGGGATCACATCTGCCTCGCTTGGCACACGTGCAAATTTAAAAAACGAACACACAGCTGGAGCGGAGCTCTGTTACGTATAAACAGGATGAATTTGAAGTCAGGCATCTTGCTTCTATCTGAATAAAACCTCTGGACGGGTTCTGATTAAAACTGATAGCTCTGTTCTGCTCTGCACAGGTGGCCCCGCCCGATTGGGACTGGGCCCTGATGATCAGAGGGACCCTCTCCACCACTTCTCAGCCAGTCCTGGAGGGGTTACAGAGCTGATGTCTCAGAGGACGAGGGTGTGTGTTCGTTTTAGGGCCTTGAAGAGACAAACCACAACACGGTGAGTGATGCTTTCACAATATTAAACGAAATTGTTTAAAAAAAAATTGGTTTTGATTTGAGAAGCGACAAGTACCGTAGTTTTCAGACTATAAGGCGCACCGGATTATAAGGCGCATTAAGCCAAACTTAAACATTTCGAGATTTTTGAGCGCCGTGTACCACATAAAATCGGTTCGAGGTTAGTTTTTTGAGCAAAATTAAAGGATGTAAGTGGGCCTTATAGTCTGAAAAATACAGCATTTTTTAGTATTTCCTCACAGGTGATAATGGAATCACTGTCTGTTTGATTGTTAGTAAAATATAACATGAACCGCTTGACAGATTGTAATGACACTTTCAAAGAGTTAATATTTAATATTTGCTCTTACATCTGATTAACTTTCGGAGTCAACAAAATTTAAGATGGCTGCCAAAGCTAAAATGGCTATAACTCAGCCAACTTTAAAGATGTTGAGCCAAACTTTGCTTTGGTTGTAGCTGAGAGTTATTCCTAAAACATACGCTAAGCAACAATAAACTGCTTGAGATCTTTGTTTGAAGATTTGTCATTTACTATTTGAATAAACCCTGTTTGTGTGTTAGCACAAAAACTCACAAACCACTCAAAAAAACTGAAGCTTTCAGAAATAAATCATTTTGTAGACATTTTTAGAGTCAAGCTGATTTAAAGTAGCTGTCACAGCTAACTGACCTTAGAAAACGCACAAACGACTACAAATAATTCAGTTTTACAGATGTTGAGCCAAAGTATGGTTTGATTGTAGTTGAGACTCATCCGCAACAGATGCTTTGAGCTCTAACAGATTGTGTTAGTATTTGTTTAAAACTGTGGCCTTATCTGTTGGAGTCAGTCCTGTCTGTTAGCAAAATATCTCATGAACCAGTAAACAGGTTTTGATGAAACTTTCAAGAAGTAACACCTGGATACAACTGATTAGCAATTGGAGTCAGTCTGATTTAAGATGGCCACCATCAGCATTATAATTCACACAAAATACTATAAATCAGTCAAGTGTAAATATATTGAGCCAAATGTGGGTTTGATAGTAGATGAGAGTCATCTTCAACCTCTTTCCTGAGCCCGAACAAATTGCGCAAAATCTCAGTTTAAATCTTTGACGTGCAGGGCGGTGAGTGACACACGCTCCTTGAACAAATGCTAAATGCAGCTTTATTGAAGTTCGCTGTTGAGAATGAAAGCAGCAAGTCCAGTATTTAAATACAGAGATTGTGCGGGCATGAAAAGAAAAGGTTGGCGACTGCTGCTGCCCCACAGAGACGGTCATCGGAGACGACTACCTGACTCGACAAGGACAGAGAAGGTCAGAGAGCAGGAGCAGGAGGAGACGATTACCAGTACACAGAGAAAGGAGAAAAGCAGCAACAACAACTCAGCACTGATTGCTGCCGTTGAGCACGACACTACTGTTAGAACCGGATCTGTGGTTTAGTCTCTTCAGACATCGGGGTTTGCTTCTCTCGATTGTTTATTTATTTATTAACTTTTATTTAATCAGGCAAATCCCATTGAGATCACAGATCTCTTTTGCAAGGGAGGCCTGGGCCTGAAGGCAGCCTAACATGTATGTTTAACTGGAGTACCCGGAGAAAACCCACGCAAGCACGAGAAGAACATGTAAACTTCACACAGAAAGACCCTAGGTCCAACCGGGGATTGTACCCAGGACCTTCTTGCTGTGAGGCAACAGTGCTAACCACTGAGCCATCGTGTTGCCAAATGATTAAATGGGGCACAAGCATCTGTAATTACACTTAGTTTCTCGTGGGCAGCTGTTAGCTCCCTGGTCTCACTCAGCATTCATCATCCACGTCTATCTGCTTCAATCTGGATAAGCAGGATGTGCTAAAGTGACACCCTGACCAGTCCAGGCCTGTGCACCATCAAGGCTTTTAATCCTCTTACAGGATGGAACTACATTGCGTGCTTTGCCTCTACTTGCAGACAGAAGTTAGTCAGCAGTGGCTTAAACTCGTTCTCGCTCTGTTTAGATGAAGCTTTAGTCAAAGAAGCTTCGCCTCACATTTTCTACTGACTACACAGAAGTGTAAATAGTTTCCTCTTAACTCAGAACCTTTAAGCAGCACAATAAGGTAACTGCAGTCAAATGACTCTATCTTCCTCTTCCTTATTGGAAAAGTCATGTTTTGAAATGTGAACAAGTGTGGCCGAGGGCCAGAGAGATCTCGTCTCACAAGTCTTGGCTCCCCGTTCCTGAAAAGCTGATCAAACCAGAATTCTTGGCCGGGCTTCTCCTTATCGTGAGCTCTCAGGAGCACATCTGTCATCATTTAGTCGTATCGATCAAACCTGGATCGCTGTGCTCTCGCCATCCCTGCCAAAGAGTCCACTTTTCTCTTTTGCTCATTGGTTCAAACGGTGCCATAAGTGGTTGACTGATTATGTCATGAGACAGCAGGAAAACGATATCTGCTGAACCTAATTCACCGCAAGATACTTGGAATCTTTGAGATCACATAAGCCAGATTTAGCAGCTCTGAAAAGTTTGCCCTAAAAAGCTAAGAATGTGAAGTAAAGCACTGGCTCCCTGTCAAATTCAGAATTGAGTTCAAAATTGTACTTCTAACCTACAAAGCCCTCAACAACCTAGCTCCATCTTATATTAGAGCTCTTACTGTTCCATATTTTCCTAACAGAGCACTTCACCCTCAAACTGCAGGCTGACTTGCTGTTCCTGTTTCCAAAAGCAGAGTGGGAGGAAGATCTTTCAGTGATCAGGCTCCTCTCTTCTGGAACCAACTTCCAGTTTCTGTCCGTAACGCTGACACAGTTTTAAGACTTTCCTTTTTGATAAATCCTATAGTCAGGGTTGGCTTGTTATGCTGCCATAGACTAAGTCTACTGGAGGACAAATTGACCTAATTTCTTAAACGAATTGTTAAAATTGAATAGTTTTCATTTGATACTATTTCTATCTTAACGTGATTCTCAACCTGCCATTGTGTATCTGTTCCTCCTTCCTGTTCCTCTCAAACCCAACCGGCCGAAGCAGATGGCTGTTTGTCCTGAGCCTGGTTCTGCTAAAGGTTTCTTCCTCGTGAGGGAGTTTTTCCTTTCCACTGTCGCCTTCGTGCTTGCTCAAGATGAGAGTCTGCGATGAAGCTAAGCAGTCTGCTCCTCAGATAAATAAAGTTATTAACTTACTTTTTATGTATATGAATGTTTCTGTTCAGTGCCCTGAGTTGACCTCTGTTGTGACTTGGTGCTATATACAGTAAATAAACTGAATTGAATTGAAATTTAAAAGCAAACACAACCCATAAAGAATCCTCACAGGCTCCATCAGGAGTGTTGAAGTGAAATGACTAGCTGAAGAACAATCACGAACATTTGGACTTAATTTAACGCCGACCATCTTGGCCTTCCTGGGGACGAACTGAGCCTCCGCTTCCTTCATTATGTCGTCTCGATGCTGCTCTTTAAAAAGCAACTTAAGCAGACAATGAACAGCTGCAGAGCTGTAGCGAATGGAGGCTGCAGCGTATTTATGTGAACTTCTCTGCTGTTGTAAGTCTCGTCGTTGTGTGTTGGTCCGAGCGTTGTGGAGAATCGAATCGTTCTCGTTGCTCATGCTGACTAAGCTCCATCTCGTTCCCGTCCAACATTCCTTACATCCGGATCACATGTGCGATTGTTCATCAAGTCTGGCGATGTTAGCTGCATACAAAACAAAACAGGCTGCGTGACCATTTTAGCTGAAGCTCATTTCAGGCACTCTGTGAAAAGAAAATCTAATTTACGGTCAAAACACCAGCAGCTGCTGGCAGGATTTCACAGCAGAGACACAACGACAAGGTTCGATACATTACGATGTAGTCTTTCAGTAAAATTACACACAGTGCAACTGTAAAAGCTATTATACTGTTAAATTAAAAACTTCAGATTTACACTAACACCATTGCTGAGCTTGACAAGTCTTTACCGTAAAATCTACAGTGATTATGTATGACACAGTGCAGGAACACATTTTTAAATTTATGGTAAAATACAATGACTCGGCCAAAAAAATGACTGACCGGTTTCTGATTTATGTTTTCCCCGCAAATCCTTTTATTCTTCTTCTAACAGGTGTTTTGCTTCTTTTCAGTTCTACATGTAACATTTATGTTTCTTTTTTGTCTCTGTAGATAAATGGAGGAGAAGGAACGAAGCAGGAGCAGGTCTCCGGCTCGGAGGGGCAGTCGGGTGCAGCAGGTGGTGGGAACCATAATACGGCGCACTCGAGAGTCCCTGAGCAGGTAGGGAACAAAGGAGTCAGAGCTGAGTGTAAATGATATTCTTTCTAAATCAAAACTGAATAGTTACAAAGTTCTTGGGCTCAGAGCTCCAGAGCCCCCCACGTCTTCGACTGTCACTCACGGCAGCATGCGTCGGACTCGTATGGCCCCTCCTGCAGGTGGTGGGCCCATCGGAAGGCAAATCCATGTAACTCATTTAGGCTGAGACCTACTGGTCCCCATGGGTAGAGGTCTGGCCACCATGCACTCACTGACAAGCTCCTCCCTCGCTGGCTCTGGGGAGGGGGGCAGGTGTTGGTAATCTGGACGACGGACACCAAACTCCATGCTGTCTTCTGTCCATACGAGTGTTTTGAATCTTTATGGCCACAGCGCTGATCATAACTCTACAAGGCACAGTCACTTTTCGGGCATTTTGTATGGATGCCTCCTGGCAGAGGTGTTCTGGGCTCTATCGACTGGGAGGAGATCCCAGGGCACCCCTTGGAGAGACTATTGGCCCTTTTCCATTAGTAATGGTACAGCACGGTTTGACTAGACTCGACCCGGTTCCAAGACTTTTCCACTAGCAACAGTTCATGGAACCAGTCCCTTTTTTTAGTACCCATTCCTCTGGGGTTAGTGTGCCGAACTGGTTCTAAAACATGACATCAGAACACTGTCAGTTACTGATTGGTCACGGGGTGGAGTGAGAAACTTTCACAACAACCCAATCTGCCATTTGCAATAACTTGAACTTGAGGAGCGACTGGACCTATTTTTAAGATTTTAAAAACATTAATGACAACACTGTGGTCTATTGCTGTGCAGGCATTTTTTTGCGCTTGGTGGCCGACGACAAAACTCAGAGCGAGGTAGATGGAGCTCTGCTGGTCTCCCTGGTCCTCTCAGAACCCCCTCAGACCAGGCAGGGTATCATCTCCCCGGCTCCGAGCTCCGCCGTGCTGCCGACACTCAGCAGCACACGAGGCCGGGGCTCGGGCTACGGCCTTGTGCGCTCCTGCGGGGTCCCGAGCTGAACCCGCCTACTAGAACCATTACTGAACATATAACGGAAAAACAACTCATACCGTGCCGAGCCGAGTCAAACCGTGCTGTACACCAGTAATGATACTAATGGAAAAGAAGCATATGTCTCTCAGCTGGCCTGGGAACACTTTGGAATCCTCCTGGAAGAGTTGGAAGAAGTGGTTGTGGAAACAGATGCCTGGCATCCCTGCTCAAACTGCTGCCCCCACGATCTGAGGAATGGATGGATGGATGGATGGATGGATGGATTGTGGACATACATCTACAACATTAACTTTTGGAGTCAGACCAGTTCAAGATGGCTATCACGGCTAAACAAACTTAGCCAAAACAAAAATGTCTAAAACTGTCAATTTAAAAGCTATTGAGCAAAGATTGTGGCGTGGTAGTCGCTGATAGTCATCCCCAGTTCATGCTTCGTGAGCTTACAGATCACATGTGAGATCTTTGTTAAATACATGCAAGGTGGAGGGTGATGTGTTTTGTTTTTAAAGTTTAATCAACCTGAAAAATCACTGTTGACAGCCTAAAATTGTGAAAACATTCATGCTTAAAATTGACTGAATTCTAGGCATGTTGCTTTCATCCTCTCATGAAGAAAACAGCTGGAAAAACAGCTGAAAACAGCTCAAACAGCTGAAAAAAGTGAAACTACATTCTTGTAATCTGATGTAAACACACACACACACCCTAACGAAAAACATATAGCACGTAGATGAGTAGATATTCGAACCCAGACTGTTTTTTTAACACACCCCACTGTGAACCACAAATATGCACTCAAAAACCCTTCATCCTCCTGTAGTCGGCTCAGCGGTTTCTCGTTCTCACCAAAGGTTGATCTGGAGGAAGCTCAACGAACTCTCCTCCAGTTGTTGTTGGGAACGACCACAACAAGTTACATATGGCTGACCATGACAATAATATCCTAAAGAAGGAATGTTTTGGTTAGAATTCAGTCCAGTGCACACACAAACCAGTTTGGGTGAACTCCCATTTGTTGAGATGACTTAATTGCTAAAAAAAAAAAGTCATAAAATGACTAAATGTTGAAAATTGACATATATATTATTATTTGAAGTTACTGTGATCATTCTTTGTTGTGTTGTGTATTTACCACTTTGCGTTGCCTTTTTTAAAACAAGGATTTTAGCTTGTTAACAGTACAAGGACTCATTTTTTCCCCAATGTGAAGCAGTTTTTATTAAATGAGTCATCTTGACTGCCATTTGTAAACCCTTTGGTTCATTAACTAACACGTCATGTTTATGTAATGCATTCCGAATGTGGTTCGGCAACATCTCGCTAAAAAAAGCAGCGACTTCCTCGTTTGGGTGACATCACGTTGCATCAAAATCTAACATTGTTCAGCGTCAATCATGCTTTCACAGGAGAACAAAAGGAAACCAACTCAGATGTTGTCTTCTGATACACTAACAACTTTGATTTGTTGCAAACTGGCACAGATTTCTGTCCGACTTAAAAGAAACTTGGAGCAAAGAGTCATTATTTGAAATATAACAATGAAACTGTTTTGACTGACAACGGTTTTCAGAAGTGTTTCTGAGTTCATGCACATCCCTCACGTATAGATGTCCTTGAGTGTATCACAGATTCTTTGGATTTCTTTCTACAGTGCTTTCAACTGGCAGCCTATGTAGTCTTTGAGCTCATTCAGTTTGGCTCGTGAAGTAAAGGACATGTATGAGGACAGCAGGACAGTGGTGAGATGTGCTGTAGGAGTGATAGATAGCTTCAAGATGGAGGTGGGAGTGCATCAAGGATCAGCTCTAAGCCCCTTCTTGTTTGCTCTGGTTATGGACCGACCAACAGATGAGGTCAGGCAGGAATTCCTCTGGACTATGATATTTGCAGGTGACATTGTGATCTTTGGTGAGAACAGGGAACAGGTGGAAGAGAACTTTGAGATGTGGAGGTATGCACTTGAAAGAAGAGGAATGAAAGTCAGCCGTAGTAAGACAGAGTACATGTGTGTGAATGAGAGGGAGGCTGGTGGAACAGTGAGGCTGCAAGGAGCAGAGGTCACAAAGGTGCAGGACTTCAAGTATTTGAGGTCCACGAACCAGGAAAATGGGGAGTGTGGTAAAGAGGTGAAAAAAAGAGTCCAGGCAGGATGGAGTGGATGGAGAGAAGTTTAGAAGACAGTGGTGAGACCAGCTATATTGTATGGTCTGGAGACAGTGGCATTGACAAAAAGACGGGAGAAAGAAATGGAAGTAGCAGAAATGAAGATGTTGAGGTTCTCCTTAGGAGTGACATGGATGGACAAGATCAGGAATGAGATCATCAGAGGTACAGCCCAGGTTGAACAACTGGGAGATAAAGTTAGAGAGACCAGACTGAGATGGTTTGGACATGTCCAGAGGAGGGACAGTGGGTATATTGGTCAAAGGATGTTAGAAATGCAGTTGCCAGGAAAAAGACAAAGAGGAAGGAGATATATGGATGCAGTTATCTGAACCGGACCTGTGGATAATGGGCTTTGAGAGGACATGGAGGTACTTGGAGTGAGGACAGAGTGAGATGGAGGATGATGACTCACTGTGGAGACACCTGAAGAGGGAAAAGCTGAAAGAAGAAGAAGTTTTGCCTATGAAGTATTAAATTGCCATTTTTGCCAAATTTGTAACAAAGGTATTTTGTGATCAGTCGGCCTTCAGAGTATGTGTTGCGGATGACTTTCAGCTACTACCACATTTAATTTTAGCTCAATATCTGTAAAATGGACAGAGTTTTAGCTATTTTTGTGTCTACTGAAGTCGATCAGCTGTGGCTGCCATCTTGAATCAGTTTATTTCAGCATCCAGTACATCCACTTTTTTGAGAATTTCAACAAACTCCTGTCCAGTGGTTCGTATATTTATACACACACAGACGCAGGCAAATTACAGGACCGCTCACATTTCACGGCGGCAGATGATAACCTTTGAAAAGCCTATGAGTATTCTGATCAATGCCCTTTGTGTTGTTATTTAAGTGCATGATTTTAGTTCGCAAAACCAATGCTTTTTTCAAGATTTTAACAAAATCAACCAAAGCATAACTTTAGAAGTACAAAAAGAAACATTTTTATGAATACAATTATCAGTTGCATAACCTTTGATCCATTTGACCTCATCAGAGAACGATTGCTAGGCGATGGGAGGTCGCAGCGCTCCAACAGTGTGAACAGTCAGAGCTTCCAGGCCAAACTCACGCTGCAGATCACCAGAGATCCCGTCCTGGACCGCAGCACCGGACATGGTTTCACCCTCACCGCAGACACGGCCCTGCTGGTCAGGGACGTCTCCGCAGGTACACATATTTTGTGGCGGGTTCTGATTCTTTTTATGTGTTTGTTTTGATGAAATGCACTTTGTTTTCCCCATTCTCTGCCCAAAATGGCCACCGGCTTTATACAACTGTGCAGAAAATCAGATTTATATACACACGCACGCTGTTTTCTCTCTGGCATTCACTCTGCAGGGCACTTGTGCCAGAGAGGGCCACAGAAACAACAGGCCACCTGCCATCTTGTCTAAATTCAATCACTTTGGAGTGTAATGATCCATTCCTTTTACGTAGGATCCCACCCTGCCAACCTCTCTGCTTTCTGCTGCCTAAAGAAGGGAGACAGTGAGAAAGTGAAAGAGAGGTGATAACGGGGGATAACAGATTTATCAGCAGGAGGAAAAAAAACAAGTGTGAATGTGCACCAACATGGAGGCAAAATGTTTAATGGGAGGAGTCAGAGAAGCAGGTGAACTTTAAAAGAAAGCAAAAGACGATGAAGGAGAAAGATAAATAAAGAGAAGGAAGTGGCAAAGCAGTAATAAAGATCAGGACAATGGCATAGCTGCTGTCAGGAGGTGACGGGGGGGGGGGGGGGGGG